AGTTCAGTCCTCATCACTATAAAGAAAGGAGTGGGCTTTGCCTTACCAAGGCCATACACACACATCTTACACCTCAGGACCGTTGGGAGTCCTCTCATCCTAGTCTTGGTCCCACAGCCAAGGTATCATATCCTTATCTTCTATCTTCTCCTTTTATCCTTTCTTTTCTTTTTTAGATAATTTTCCTGCCTCAGATTCAGGTTATAGCCATGCACCACCATCCCCAGCCGCTTCCCACCTTCTCCATCTGCCTAGGATAGGCTGGGAAAGTTCTCTCTACAGACAAAAGGGGAAGCAGCTACCCCAGTGGCCACCGGACACCCATCCCCTGATGACCCTGAATGGCTGTAAGCATCCCCACCCAGAGAACCTGCCTTTGATGTTGTAGGCGCCATCATTGAATTCCAGCTGGAAGACATCGTAGCTGGAGCGGTTGGCATCCAGGGTGCCCGTGACCTTGCGGCAGCCGATGAACCCGTGCTCCCCACGGAACACGATAATGGGGCGGTTAATCAGCTTCATGAGGAAGAGTTCAGAGTCCCCTGTCACAGGGAAAGGGACCATTGAGTTTATAGCAACAGGGATGGGCCAGCCAGGGTGTGCCTCAGAGAAGGACATCAAGAAGCTAAGGGTTAACCGTGCCAACCTAAGGAGCTGCCTGCACACAGAGAGAGAGGTTCAGGTGGGGCTGGTGACTGACCACAGGGTGACTGTCCCTCTAAGACACTAAGGAAACAGGCTTGGGTGCACGCCCCCATGTGGCTACCTGCTGTCTCCACTGAGGCGGCCAGCTGACCATTTTTCTTGGCAGTCACAAACTTGCCATTGGATGCTCTTAGAGTGATGCGACGGTCACACCACTCAATGTCAAAGTAGCAGCTAGCGTTCCTGGGGAAGAGGAGAGGGGTTGGCAACACGGGGGTCAAGTGAGCTGCCCAGTCCCAGGAGAATGATTCGGGGGTGGGGTGTCACTCACTTGGTGGATGCAGTGGATTGTACCCCTCCAGTTGATGTCAACGTCCAGTACTTGCCCGTGTGGGTGCGGAAGGCACACTTTCTCGTGTCACGGTCAATCTCCAGCTGGAAGGTCTCCTGATCAGTCTCTTCATCTTGATTGGCCGACAGGTCCATTCCTGCAGAGGGAGACCCCGGCCAATGAGGCCACTGTTATCTCACCGCACTCAAGGTGCCACAGGGCAGTGGGCTTCCTCAAGTGGGGCTCTGATCCCTCAGATGGTATCCTGGCAGTGGGCACTTGCGCAGATACTAAATTCAGATCCCTAGAAACCACATAAAAGCCGGGCATGGCAGTAGAGCTGAAAATCCCAATACAGGAAAGTCAATGACTTAGCTAAATCACCGATCTCTAGGCCACTGAGAGATCCCTTTTTTTTCTTTTGTTTTTGGTTTTTCAAGACAGGGTTTCTCTGTGTGGAACTTGCTTTATAGACCAGGCTGGCCTTGAACTGAAGAGATCCGCCTGCCCCTGGCTCCCAAGTGCTAGGATTAAAGGCATGCGCCACCACATTTGGCTGAAATTCCAGTGTCAAGTACAGAGTGGACAGTCAGGAGACAGAGCTAGATCTTTGTGAGTCTGAGGCCAGTCTGGTCCACAAAGTGAGGTCTAAGACATCCAGAGCTACATAGTAAGACCCCAGCTCAAAAAAAAGTGTGTAAACTGGATGGTGGTGGTGCACACCTTTGATCCCAGCACTCAAGAGGCAAAGGCAGGTGGATCTCTGTGAGTTCAAGGCCAGCCTGGTCTACAGAGCGAGTTCCGGGACAGGCTCCAAAGCTACAGAGAAACTCTGTCTCAGAAAAAACAAAAGGTGTGTAGAATGACAGATAACAACATAGCTGATGTTGACCTCTGACCTCCATGTTAGGGGCACACACATATATAATGAAAATCAGAGGTACCAGTCCTCAGAAGACTGAGTCAGGCCAGCCAGGGATATATAAAACACACTCTCTCCCTCCCTCCCTCTCTTTCTCTCTCTTTCAATATATATATATATATATTTCTTTAATCTCTAGCACCCTAAAAGACAAAAAGGAAGTAAGTCTTCAAACTTCAAAACGAACCACCCACAAAGTTGTTCTAAAGCCAAGCAATAGAACTTTTCTGGGGCCCGGGATTGGGTTCTAAAGATTGGTTCCAGTCAGGCAATGCGGCTGTTATGTAAGGATCGGCCTGGTTTTGTAGGTACAGATGGGGGCGTTTCCGGATAAGTCGCCCCAGTGTTGGGAATTTGCTTTAAATACAACCAAAACCATCGAACAAACACACAGATGGAGCCAGTTCTGCAGAATGTCACATTGCGGGGTGCTGGTAAAAGGGGGCTCACTACCCACTTCTCAAAGAGGGGATCTGTGAAAGTAAAAGAATATAAAGTATGAGCTATGCCTGGCAACCCACGCCTATCATCGCAGCACTCAGCAGGCTGAGGTTAGCCTCAGCTACGAGTGAGACCCTATCTCAAAACATAAGATAGAGCTGTGGCTATAATTCAGTTGGTAGAGTGCTTGCCTAACATGCACCAAGTCCTGGGGTCCACCCCCAGAACTGCATAAAGGATCAGAAGTTCAAGGCTAGCTTGAGCTACACCACAGGGACCCCACCCCCAGCGCGCTCCAACACACAAAGGGTTGCAGGCCCTTTGAAGTAAAAACACCTGCCACTGAGCCTAACAACCTGAGTGTGATACTGGGACCAACACGGCAGAAGGAGAACGGACTCTGTCTGACATCTAAATGTATATCATAGCATGTGGACCACCACCTAAAGACTGGAACCAATCTTTAGAACCCAATCCCGGGCCCCAGAAAAGTTCTATTGCTATTTGTATACAAAACTAATAATATATGCTTTTGGGGGGGGGTGTTTTTTGAGACAGGGTTTTTCTGTGTATCTTTGGAGCCTGTCCTGGAACTCACAGAGATCCACCTGCTCTGCCTCCCAAGTGCTGGGATTAAACGTATGGGCCACCACTCAGCCAAATGCATTTTTTTTTAAAAAAGAAGATGGGTGTGGTGGTACATGCCTTTATCCCTAGTACTCAGGAGGCAGAGGTGAATCTCTATCAGTTTGAGGTCACCCTAGTCTATGTAATGAGTTCTAAGCCAGGGCTATATATAAAATAAACAGAGAGGGGATTGGGAATATAGCTCTGTAGTAAAGTGCTTGCCTAGCATGGTGGAAAGCCCAGCACTCCATCCCCAGCACCACACACTCTCAAAAGGGAGAAAGATGAAGTCATACTCTATCCCTGCCCCCACCAGCCACAGACACTGAAGCTTACCCTACCATCTCCCTGCTGGTGGACATGGCCACCCAAAAAGGTTGTTGGGCCTCCCCTTTCCTCTCTGTTTTATTGATTTCTTTTCTTTTTTGGTTTTTTCAAGACAGGGTTTCTCTTTGTAACAGTTCTGGATCTCCTGGAACTCACTCTGTAGACCAGGCTGGCCTCGAACTCACAGTGATCCGAGTGTCTCGGCCTCCTGATTGCTGGGATTAAAGGCCTGTGCCACCACTGCTCGGCTAATTTTCTTTAATTAAAAGACATATATATTTCTTGCTGGACAGTGGTGGCTCATGCCTTTAATCCCAGCAGTTGGGAGGCAGAGGCAGGTGGATCTCTGTGAGCTTGAGGCCAGTCTGGTCTACAGAGTGAGTTCCAGGACAGTCAAAGCTATTACACAGAGAAACCCTGTCTAGAAAAAAAAAAAAAAAAAGGAAAAGACTTGTATTTTATATGTATGTTTTGCCTGTCTGTGTGGATATGAACCACATGTGGGCCTGGTGTCCTCTGAGGCCAGATCTCCTAGAACTGGGTTACACATGGCTGTGAGCCACCATGTAAGCGCTGGTCCTCTGTAAGAACAAGTGTTGTAGAGCCGGGTGGTGGTGGTACACACCTTTCATCCCAGCACTCAGGAGGCAGAGGCAGGTGGACCTGAGTTAGAGACTAGTCTGGTCTAGAGTTCCAGGACAGCCAGGGTTTTCTCACACAGAGATACCCTATCTCAAAAAAAAAAAAAAAACAAAAGAACAAACATCCTTCAGCATTGAGCCATCTCTCCATCGTTCCCTCTTTTTTGGTTTGGTTTTGTTTGAGGCAGGGTTTCACTGTCTATCCCAGGCTAGCCTTGAAGTCAAGAGATCCACCTGCCTCTGCCTTCTGAGTGCTGGAATTACAGGTGTGTGCCCCAAGGCTTTCTGACTTCTTGCTAAATTCCCGTGTTACATGACCCCATTGAGCCCAAGTAAGGTGCTGCTCCTAGGACCTGCTCTGCACACTGGCTTTGCCTCCACCTGGAAGCGGGATCGTGGGTCCTAACAAGACAAACTGAGGCATTTCTAAAAATGCCCTCAGCCAGGTCACAATGTACACTGCCAGGTTTAAAGATTGTCTTTAAGTGTCCTAATGAAGCAGGGACCAAGTAGGAGAAGGCAGATGCCCCCCACTTTACCCTTGCCCCTAGGAACCCATTCCTGGTCGACATCCCATCCAAGGGTGAGCCAGTGCCATCCTGTCAACAGTGTCTCTATCTGTGCTGTGCAATGGGGACCCTTACCTCACAAAGTAAATGAGGTTTCGAGGTGGCATGGCCTTGACTCAAGGTTACCCAACAAAACCAAGGGGTTTCTTGGGGATAGACAAATGCTTGGCCATGTCTTATCCCTCACTTCTAGATCAGCAGACATGGCTTCGATGGTGGGTCACCCAATATCCTAACCCAGTCCCTCCACTGAAGCATGGGAGAGGGTGAGAAGGCCCTCCCAGGCTAGGCAGCCACCCCAAAGCCACAGCTCTGGGCTGGAGTCTGCTCAACTGCCCACCTTCTCAAGCAGAAACTGGCTCTCCTGCCCAGGGCCACAACAGGGACTGCTAAACATTGAGAAGACAGCTGGCCGCATGAATGTGGGGTGCTTCCCACTGCCCCCTCTGCCTGCCTATAATTGGGCTGCCATGTGCAGAGAAAGCTGGGTCAGCACAGCCCACTGAGAGAATAGCCACATCTAGGGCCAACAAGGGCAAGGAATCCCATTCACTTAATACATGCCCAGAGGGTAATGGGACAGCCAGGACAACCCAGCACTGGGACCTAAGTGGGTAAAAGCCCGTGTCACCAAGCCTCCAGAGTCCCATCTCCAGGGCCCAACTGGTTGAAAGAAAAAACTGATTCCCACCAGACCAAGTTCCATGTGTGTGTTGTAGCCTATATACACACCCACATACAAATAATTGATGAAGGTAATTAGAGTAAAATTTTATTTTGAAAAAGAGAAAGAAAAGCCAACATTGGGAATGTGACTCAGTAACAGCATTTGCCTAGATGGGGGGAGAAGTGGGGGGGGCTGAGGGTGTGGTCATCGGTGGAGCACCTGCCTGTCATGCACAAGGCCTCAGGTTTGACCAGCACTTTCCCACAATAAAAGCAAATCACACCTTTACTCCCAGCACACAGGAGTCAGAGGCAGGCGAATCTCTGAGTTCTTCGAGGCCAGCCTGGTCTATAGAGCAAGTTCCAGGATAGATAAGGCTACACAGACAAACCCTGTCTCAGGAAAAAGAAAAGAAAAGCCCCTCCCAACCACCCCAGCAGCAAAATGCTGCTCCAAGATAGGCAAGCAAGAGGGGGCTGGAAGCCAATCAGAAGTGATGGCCCACAACTCTCAACCCAGCATTCTGGGGATGGAGGCAGGAGGATGGAGACTTGAAAGCCAGATGGACAAGACAAAAACCAAAGCTAAGGTGGGTGAGGTAAAGGCGGCTGAAATGTTGGCTTCCCAGCATGCAAGCTATCCCTGTACAAGGGAGAGGCACGGGCTCAAGAAGTTGTGGGCACAGAGTTCCAGGCGGGGCAGTACCGAGGACAATACACCAATAGTCAGCCTTGCAGTAATTTCTGAGAAATGAGACCATTCAGACTGAGGACAAAAAGAACCTCATCCAGGCCACCATCCGGATCTCATCTCCAGGTACAAAGGGGCTGTTGCAGCCAAGCTTTGTTTAAAGGCCTAAGAGGCCAGTGAGGCACCAAATATGGACTCTAGACACCTTTGGTGAATGCCTTCGCCTCTCTGTGCCTCAGTCTCCCTACCCTGCCAAAAAAGATCATCTCTGCTGGGACCCTGAAAGGATGTGAGGGTCTGTTGCCTAGGAGATGCAGAGGTCTCCGCCCTCAGCAGGAAGGGTGGGGAAAGTCAGTCCCCTTGCAGAATGGCCGCTTCAAGGCCCAGCCCAGGGGGAAAGACCCCACTTGGCCTTGGAATCACATTGGAGCTGCGTTGCTATGGTAACAGAATTTCTGTGGGATTTTTTTTCAACAGTGCAGCACAGAAAACCTGAGTCACAGGCTCCAGGAGCCCACAGGAGGGGGCGTGGTTATCTTCCAGCTTCACAGGCTTTGGTGACTCAGAGGGTCCCCCAACCCTCACCCGCCTCCTGAGCTCAGCAGCTTGCCAGATTCTCTTGCCTTATTCTAAATAAGCATCCTCCACAACCCATCTGATTTAGGAAGGGGGTTCAGCTTAGAATCCTCCAGGACTTCACTTCACCCCCCAGAGTCCACTCAGGGCTCAAAACTATGCCAATCCTGTCAAGAATTCGGGACCCTTAGACATCCCACAAAGCCCAGCCAGCCACCCCAGAAATGATGGGGACAAGACCCTTCTAAAGCATGCTGGGGCAGGGGGTAAGAACCCAACATGTGAACCAGGTTGGGCAGTGTGGGAAGATACAGCACAGGGTCTCCTTGAGCCAGCAAGGGCTTGTGAGGATCAGAAGACTCTCCCCCTATCCTGTTCACTCCTCTCATGCGATCTACACCTTCCAGGACCCAGGAATCTGTTTTACAGATGGGGAAACTGAGGCCGGGGAGCAGGAAGCAACTTGGCAGGGATGATTCACAGCCCCAAATTGCGCCTTCCCTCCCCCTATTCCTGGCTAGGAGTTCCGAAGCCCAGCCCCGCCTCCCTGCCACGCAGGCCTGCCCAAAATGGCCTCCCCGGCACACCCACCCAGCAGCTCACCTCAAAAAAGCCAGGGAGTTGGCTGACATGAGAATGAGACTCAGACCCCCAATATGAGGGCAGAAGAGGTCTAACCATGACTCCAAGTTCCCTTCAGATCCAATTTCTACCTCTTCCTGCCTCATCAGCGTGAATCATGTACAATCATGACACACTCAGGGGAGTACCTGCCCAGGCTCGCAAAACTCTAGCTCCTTCCTGGCCCCAAGGGTCTAAGTCACCTGTTTCAGCCTAACATTCCCCAGGGCAGCAAGCCTTGGACACAGCTCAGTAGACAGCCAGTCTCTCTGCCAGGGAGTCCCTGGCATCTGCAGGGTTCCCTCCAGTCCCAAATCCCAGCCAGTCTTCCTCCCGGATATCCAGGGTTTTCTCTCTGCACCTCCCTGCCTCAGGGCCTTTGCACTGACTGTGCCCTCCGCCTGCAAGACCAGTCCATATACTTGATGCCTGCGGAATTTCTTCTATTCACTCTCCGGGGGCAGCTCAGAAGAGACCCCTGACCTTGATAATCTAGTACCCTGGTCCTGTACCCCCAATCATTTGCTGTACATTCCAGTCTTGTTCCCAAGAGACATTTACTATCTCTTATATCTCCGTGTTTGTTAAACAGGTGGGAACTCTGACCCTTCATCCAGCAATGTGAAACTGTGAAACAAGAGAAGCTGACATGCATTGGAGTGTGTGTGTGTGTGTGTGTGTGTGTGTGTGTGTGTGTGTGTGTGTGTGTAAAATGAGAGAACATTCTGGAATCAAATACACTCAATTCAGCATGTTGCTGATTTACTGTGTAACCTAAAGCAAATGGCTGCTGCACCTTTCTGAGGGTTAATTCAGCCAAACTCTGGGAGGCCCCACCCAGAGCTTGGGCCTCTGCATTGGGGGAGGGAGGTCTTCCTCGCCACAGGCTCCCATTCAGCTATCTCCAAATCCTGGGGTCCAGTTTCCCATCCAAGGCAGCGAGATCTCACAAGCCCCTGCCAGCAGGCAGCAAAGACCCTTTGGCAAAGAAGTAAGGGGTATGCCAGAAAGGAGGCGCCTACTTGTGGCACGCCCATGCGGGTCGGAAATGGCCTGCCAGCCTGCTGGAGGCCCTGGATGGGGACAGATCCAGTTGCAAACGATTGTTCCCAGTTAGGGGCCTTGGGGACCGGTTCACTCGAGGGTAGAGGCTTCTAGACACTCGCAGGGCCGAGTGCCGGACCGCGAGGCGTGCACCAGAGGGCAGGGAGGGTACCTGGCGCGCAGCCACCAGGGCCACGCCACCCGCCAGCCGGGGTGCGAAGAAGACCCAGGCGGCTGCTTTCTGAGCCTCCACACCACAGTACCCAGGGCCGGGGACGACGCCTAGGGGGTTGGGGGTGGCTCCTCCGCAGAGGGACCCGCCCAAGACGATCCCCTCCCCCAGCTCCACCGCATCTGGTTTTCCCATCTGCAGAGCCCTAGCAGGACAAAGGGGACGAGGGAGGGCCCAGACGAGGCGACCCGCCCCCCTGCTCACAAAGGCCGCGGCCCGGAGCGCCAGGCCTAGGCGAGGGGAGGCGGGGTGGGGGAGGGGCAGCCCCGGGGGACCACACC